AAGGCGGAGGGGTGGGAGTGTCTCTGTAGGCATCTTTTTATAAGATTCTCTTGGGAGGGAAAATACAATGATCTTTCCTGAATTCTGGCATGATTGCAAATCATTTAGCGATTAGTTTCTCCTCTCTACTCTGAAGTCATCCTTCATCTCCATGGCAGAAGTGGTGGGGTGGGGGACGGTTTTTCGTTCTGCTGTAGTAAGCGCGTGTTTCGTAAATTATCAGTACATCACCCTGCGGAAATAAACTACATAATATAAGGCGCTGTTTTGGGCTATTTAATCTCCTGGTAACCGTTACACTATTTATAACGCAATTTGGTTGTAAAGGATTTTAGTGGCATTTTGAGTCATATTCTCACTTTTTTTTATTTAAATCACAACTGTTATTTTAGTCGCATCCAAGACAGCCATTTTATGTTATTGAACTAGATCCTTATTCTTGTAAAGACAACGAGCTTAATCCTCTCAGTCTCGCATTCTCCACAAAATTTGCAACGCGTAGTGCAGGAAATTCCCGCTTAAAAAACATTTTCAACGTCCTTTACAACCTCGTTCGGCTTACACAGCTACTGGTATACCTTTTGATGTTCAAGGTAAGGTGGACCTTAAAGGCTTCCACGCATCTCCTGACTCGGATCTTGATCATCCCCATTCGAAGCACTTTTCCCAAAAATGTCCATCTTTCTAGGCAACTCTCTTGGTGTGATGAAATAATACATGTTCAATTGAGGGGAGGTTCTCAAGCTTTATTCCCTTTTGTGCAAATAGCCAGAACCTTTCTGGCATCATTGACTCTTCGACTCCGGTTTGTGTGGTCAGACATTAGGACAACAAATATCTAAAGCGCGGACATGGTAAAAGGGCATCTAACGTCAATTGTGGGTTCATATGTTTCCGGTATCGCGAGGTCACGGGTTCAAACCCCGTTGAGGTCCTGAATATTTTTCAGGCTTCTTTACGCAATTGCATAAATTGCGTTCACTGCGACGATCATTTCTTCATTTTCAGATTAAGGATTTATATGAATATTGATTGATACAATTGTAAATAGTTTTAATTATGATGTGCAAATTATGTTTTTTTTTCTAGTTTTTAGGTTTTAGATGTTTCTTTCTGTATATAATGTTTTAGATTCTAGATTTTCCTTTTTCATCTTTTATATAGGGCTGACCTCTAGATATCCCCTTTCCAGAGATATTTTGTAACTTTAGTTTTCATCTCTTGAATAAAGTATTGTATTCTTGTATTGTATTGTACTGAAACGTGGTGTTGGTGGTAGGGGAAAATACAAATGTGGTAGCGGCGAAAGAAAACACTAGGAATTTAGAGAAGCAAAAACGAGAGGTGGAAAAATAAAACATTGTTTTTGGTGAAAGAAGAGCCATTTTTCCGTCATACTCATTACCATAGAGGATTTTCGGGCTCAGAATCAGTGAACCGAAACCAGGGCAATATAAGTTGTCTGTAATGAAAATGACTATGGCAGGGAGTAGAACGTTCATAATTACGTTGCGGATCATTGAATCGAAATTCCCTGAGCAATTCGCAATCCACTTCACAATATATCACTTTTTTGAACTAAGCTCCTTGTTTAAATTATTATCATGTTATAATTATAATCGTTATCACCAATATCATCATTCGTTCTTCTTCTTCTTCTTCTTCTTCTTCTTCTTCTTCTTCTTCTTCTTCTTCTTCTTCTTCTTCTTCTTCTTATTATTATTATTATTATTACTATTCGTATTATTATTATTATTATTATTATTATTATCATTACTGATAATAGCGATGTTGCAGCTATTTGACGACGAAAACGATTAACTGTTGGGAATACAGTCTCGTCCTATAAGAGTTTTATCGAAGATATAATGCATAGATAAGTTTCGAGTTGGCTACCATCGAAGACTGGTTATGAGTGGGTGGAGGTTATACAGTACGCTTTAAACTCTCCACACGCCATCTTTGCGTTATAGATATTCAATCATTTACAGCCAGTCTTTCTTAAAACTAACTAGAGCAATCATGATAGTAGTTCCTAACCCGTGGTTTAGTGCTTACGTTGGACGTAAGAGTATGGGCGTTTAACCAGATTACATATCGGCAAGAGATAAAAGGTCAAATTGGCATCCGTTAGTCTTATCGTCCCTTTCATGTCCTTAAAATAGCTTAGAATGTGGAATGTTTAACTGTCATTTCCGCAATAAATAAAAATTATAAATTGAGCCTCAAACCCGATAAAAGCAATAGTAAGAAGACTATCAGTAACAAACGGATCAAGGGGCCTTCGAGACTGCTAGGAACTTAAAATGAGCCGAGACGTTGTCAAGGTAAATTTTCTCATTTTCATTATAATCAGCACCATTAATGCATGTTTCTAAACTTTTGAATTAAACTGTTATAAAAATTTTGAAGCCAGGGGACCGTGAACATTGAAGGTCTTAAATTTATTGGACATGGTTTCTACAACCTTAAAATTCAGTTAAACGCGGGAAAAATTTACAGAACAACTTTAGATTTAGAAGGAACCGAGCCATGCAGACACTTGAACTAAGAACTAGGGTGTCATAAAGGTGACTAATGTCTACTAGATGCATTTTAAACATCACCTTAAAAGTTTGGAGACCGTCATTGAACTATATTATTGCATTGAGCTCTGTAGGTCGTCAAGATTCATAGGTTTTCTGCTAAAAATGTACCATTTACAAAACTATTTTCGAACATTTTTCTGCGGAATGATAGGCTGACGACGAAATAATTAAACGAAAAAATTCGCGGACAACTTTTTCCGCGAAAATAGGTTGCATGTTTGGTTAGTTATAATGATCATGCGTCTGTAATGAAGCTTGTCAACTTTAATGATGTTCTTCATTTGCTACTTAGCTGCAGCTGATTTTTCTCCTCCTCTTTTTTTCGTCATCTGGTGGAAGGCTTCACGAGGAAAACGAAGAAGACGATAGAGCCGCTGAAAGCTGGGCTCGACTTGTGATGCCAAGGAACACAAACAACGCCAAAAACAGGACACAGTGGTGCCAACCGTCAGGCAGTCAAGATAAAAAGACCTTGAAAAGGGTTATGAGGTGTTTACTAACAAGAGACAACTCTACTAAATGCAGAGCTGATCTATGTAGTCTGGTAGATTGCGACTGTAATGATTACTTAAGAGGATGTGATACCTGCGTCTCAGGATCTGCCTGAAAGACTATGGTTGCTCTGTGATCTAGATCAAAAGTACAGCGTTGGACTCGAGGACTTGAGTTAACACTCTTTCATTAAAGAATAATAATGACGATAATAATAATCATTATAATAATTATAATAATAATGATTATACGTACTCGATTATCTATGAGTATTATGAAACGGTGCTGGTGCTGCGCACAATCACACTAATAAAGGCGAAACTCCCCATACTGAAATTGAGGCATTCACGATCAATAGTCTTAGGTCCCCACTACAAGACCTATGTTAAAATTGTTGGTGGTGGTGGTGGCAGAAAAAAGGGGAAACAATTGAAATGTGGTGGCGGTATAGTCAAGCCATATGGTGAAAAAAATGTGCACTTTGGGTTAAAAGCACCAAATAAAAAATAAACTACATAATATTAGGCTATTTAATCTCCTGTTAACCGTTACACCATTTATAACGCAATTTGGTTGTCAAGAATTTTAAAAGCATTTTGAGTTATATTCGCACTTTTTTTTCAATCGGAGTCGCCATGGCAATTCACTTTTATTAAAGAAATAAAAAGGACACATCTTACCTTTCCGAGGGTGAAAATCTGCATAGTCACACAAACAAACGAGCAAAAAGACCAGCCATTCCTGTCCTTCATGTTGAGTTTCCCTGAGTAGCCAGGTCTTTTCTTTCTTCCTTACGTAGGCTTTCTTTTTTCCATCAGGAAGTATCTTAAAAATATTAATGAAGTGTTTTGGAGTGTCAACGGGTGCATGTATAATATTGTCTGCTTTCAACTCAAAATTAATTCCGCCCTTCATTACTTTACTTGTCTCTACTTGGCTTTTCCTTCTGACAAGAATCATTCACACACTTTGTTGAAATATTTTCATAAAATCTCTGGTAAAAGTAGGTAACAGGTTTTTTTTAGGGTTCATCTTGCGCTACTGTTAAGAAAATGGGAATACAAAGTTTTGCAGACCGATTTTCTCCCTTCTTTAAGTTTTTTCCGGACTAAACCAAAAGGACCATGACCCCTCCCCCCAAGGGCACAATGTTGTTCCCCCGTGCATACTTAAGAGGGGTCCATAACTAAAAATTGTTGTTACAAATAGTACTATCACTGTGCCGAGTTTGATGCTTTCACCCCAAAGTGCACAATTTAGATGTTTGTTTACACTATATGTAGTGGTGCTGCTGCTGCTGCTGAAGGAGGAAAACAATAGAAATGTGGTAGTGGTGGCGGTGGTGGAAATTATGAATGTGCTGGTGATGGTGGAGGGAGAACAATAGAAATACAACTAGAAATTCTAACAATAGAAATACTGAATTGGCAAACTATGGAGAAACGTAGAGAGTTCTTATCTCTAGTTCAGTGCTACATAATAGTTTTTGAAATAGATAGCCTTCCTTTTTCGGACTTTTTTGAACTTACTAAGAGGGTCTCAATGGGGTGGTGGCTTTTACGGTTATCGGCTAAAATTTTCGCTCTTCTACGGCTATCGGTTAATTTTTTTCAGTTACGGTTAACGAAAAAGTTAAAAATTAACTTCTTTCGTTTCAAAAAGTTAAATATTAATTAACCTGTGTTTTTTTGTATCTTTAAATCAAAATAAAGGTCTTCGGATCATCTCGGGATGAAATAAGCTATTCTTTTGAAAAATTTTAACATTTGATAGATCATACTTTTTATAAAGTATTGCACTTCTGATATTATTTTTTACAACACCCTATATAGATTTTTCGTTCCCAAGAGTCCTGACGACATTGCTGTGCCATGTGAAAACCAGTTGCGGTTATGATCTATGTTATCGACACCAGGAGACTTATGTTGGAGTAGATTCTCCAGATGAATCTTTACAACATCGAACCACTGAGTTAAATCTTATAAGCTGTGATACAGTAAGAGCAGCTTGATTTTGTATGATATTGCTTGACTAAGCCTCAATACTAGCTCCATCGGCCCAGAATTATCTCAATTAAACTTCTTAAAGACTGAGGGATAGAGGCTTCTTGGCAGTTAATTTGAAATGTCCAGGGAGTCCCAGTGTGCAAAATTGGCTGCTTTTGCAATCTCCATTGCTTCACTATCGGTGTTTCTGTCTGTGGCGTCCTTCTAAACAATTGCAGCGTCTTCGCTAAAAGCAAGAAGGACTTCACGACCATCTCTATATGCCGTTAAACCTAGACATTGCTGTATAAAATAATGCTCTCTATGTGTTTAAGATTTGTGGTGTGCGCTTGCTGTGAAATGTCAACCTCCTCTTCTTTAGTCTTGATGCATCCAATATAGATAGCTCAGAAAACCTGAACAATGAATCACCTGAATCATTTTCGTTTCTTCAAGGAACTGAATAAACCAGTTCTGCGAGCGCAGTGCCGGCGTAGCATATGGAGTCGTCATTAGTTTGTTTGACGGTTTGATTTTTTACCCCTGGCACTACTGGCAGTGCATCAAGTACTACAAAACCTGTTCTTAGTTTACCGAGTAGTGATGGGTCTTTAAGGATGCGAAGAAGTCTCTTGTTTTCCACCTAGGTGGAAAGTAGAGGTCCCGTGAATTGATATGAAGCACACTGACAGAGAACAGGCTCGACAGACCTTTGTATCAGCAGTGCTTCCTTGGGGTAACCTAGCTCTCTACCATCATCATCTTTTAATCACTGTCAAACATTGTTGGCCGACAACTCCCAAAATTGTTGGGAATTGTTGCGTCCGTTTGCACGTAGCTCTAGGTGTCAATTATGGTGTTTCAAAGGCATACACGGCTATGTTCAGGAGAACTCTGTATGCTAAGGCACAATGAATCATACTGTAAATCTCAGCACTTTTATCGTTGATATAAAGATGAAAATAGTGTGTAAAGAAGATCTATAATTAAAAACTAGAAATAACCAAAGGTTACGGAGTGCGGTTGACAACGATGAAAAATGAAAACGCTTGTACTCCAGCGCTGTGCTTTGCGCAAGTCAGTCACGTGATAGATGGTCCAAACGCGCATGATCAGATTCCGAGTGATAGAAGATCCAAATGCGAATGATCAAATTGTGCTCTGTGAATTCAATTCATTCCTTGTGTACGTCTAAACGAATGCTGGCTACATACATGCGATGCATGAATAATAACAACCTGGATATTAGGATTGAAGGCTCCTCTTGTCGCCCGCAATAAATGTGTTTAGTATATACTAAAACAGTGGATAGTGTTTTTCGCGCGCTCTGATTGGCTACTGAATCAGTGAATATCCTGCACTATTCACTGATTCAACTCCAAGTTCCTCCGAGCGAGCAACGCCAAACTCGCGCAAGTTGCGAGCAAAATGTCTTCCCAGTTTGCTGCCGTAACAAACAAAGAAATTCACAACTAATCAAGCAAGCTGTTCCCGAAGTACACAAAGAAGGTGAGGAAGCTCGGTTTGGCAGTTTTAAGGTGGCTCGACTGGATTTTTTGAGAGGGATACCTCCCAAGTTTGAGCATTAACTACGTCGGCATGAGTAAAGGTATGGTAAAAAGGTTGCCACAGCTGTATTATATAAAGATGAAAATTTCTTATGATCTGGGTTTTATTGCAATCGGAGTCGCCATGGCAATTCACTTTTATTAAAGAAATAAAAAGGACACATCTTACCTTTCCGAGGGTGAAAATCTGCATAGTCACACAAACAAACGAGCAAAAAGACCAGCCATTCCTGTCCTTCATGTTGAGTTTCCCTGAGTAGCCAGGTCTTTTCTTTCTTCCTTACGTAGGCTTTCTTTTTTCCATCAGGAAGTATCTTAAAAATATTAATGAAGTGTTTTGGAGTGTCAACGGGTGCATGTATAATATTGTCTGCTTTCAACTCAAAATTAATTCCGCCCTTCATTACTTTACTTGTCTCTACTTGGCTTTTCCTTCTGACAAGAATCATTCACACACTTTGTTGAAATATTTTCATAAAATCTCTGGTAAAAGTAGGTAACAGGTTTTTTTTAGGGTTCATCTTGCGCTACTGTTAAGAAAATGGGAATACAAAGTTTTGCAGACCGATTTTCTCCCTTCTTTAAGTTTTTTCCGGACTAAACCAAAAGGACCATGACCCCTCCCCCCAAGGGCACAATGTTGTTCCCCCGTGCATACTTAAGAGGGGTCCATAACTAAAAATTGTTGTTACAAATAGTACTATCACTGTGCCGAGTTTGATGCTTTCACCCCAAAGTGCACAATTTAGATGTTTGTTTACACTATATGTAGTGGTGCTGCTGCTGCTGCTGAAGGAGGAAAACAATAGAAATGTGGTAGTGGTGGCGGTGGTGGAAATTATGAATGTGCTGGTGATGGTGGAGGGAGAACAATAGAAATACAACTAGAAATTCTAACAATAGAAATACTGAATTGGCAAACTATGGAGAAACGTAGAGAGTTCTTATCTCTAGTTCAGTGCTACATAATAGTTTTTGAAATAGATAGCCTTCCTTTTTCGGACTTTTTTGAACTTACTAAGAGGGTCTCAATGGGGTGGTGGCTTTTACGGTTATCGGCTAAAATTTTCGCTCTTCTACGGCTATCGGTTAATTTTTTTCAGTTACGGTTAACGAAAAAGTTAAAAATTAACTTCTTTCGTTTCAAAAAGTTAAATATTAATTAACCTGTGTTTTTTTGTATCTTTAAATCAAAATAAAGGTCTTCGGATCATCTCGGGATGAAATAAGCTATTCTTTTGAAAAATTTTAACATTTGATAGATCATACTTTTTATAAAGTATTGCACTTCTGATATTATTTTACACATAGAAATGTCAATAGTCAATTTAAAAATAATCTTTGTGAAAAAGCAAAAGCAGACACGCGAACGCCCAACTCAAGGCCGGGGCGCGACATTCATTATAACAGAAATGGCCGTTTTAACACTAGAGAAGGATTATTCGTGTGAGACGGGTTATTCGTTTGATGATTCGCGTCAGATAGGTGATACGTCTTAATTTGGCAATGGAATAGTTTTAATTTTCAATAAACAATCCGCCTGACTTTTGAAGACAGGATTATCCGTTCCAGATAGCCTGTGTACAGCCGCCCTTTCCCCTCAGAAAAAAATCGGAGAAGGGGTGTCTGTGGGGAGGGCGCGACTGTACACAGGCTAGTCTCAGACGAATGATCCATTTCTAGGTCTAGTGTGAAAACGGCCAATAACAAAATTCCCGTGTCCAGTGTTTCTAATGATAGCGAAGGACTGTACGGAACGACTGTCTTGCCGTTGCCTTGTCCGTAGGCCGCATTATTCCGCGCGGCTGATGCCTTTCGGGTCATGTGGTCCGAGCGGGTTCGCCACTGAAATGCCTTGACCGAGATTGCGTGGGAAGACGCCGAACAGGGACTAGGCATGGCGATGTCTACCGTAGCGTCTGAGAAAAACAGGGAAATGTTGTTTATCGGCAAGGTGTTTTACAAACAGTGACACCTCTGCGTGTTGTTTCACTACTGTTTTGAGGGCACAGCCTCCTGAAAATTGCAAATATTAATCCCCAGCAAGAAGCCACACTTTCGCTATGGAAAAAATTTGTTCCCCAAGAAAGCGCCGGAAATGGAGCCTAGGTCTTGGTTAACACCTAAAAGGCGCTTCGCCTAACGTGCGTACGGAGTCACACTAGCCGGGAAATAAAACACGCAACCATAAGTGAGTTTAGTACCTTCCTTAAAAGTAGCAAATCTAGGGAACACTTTCTTTTACGGTGAACTCTTTTTTACGCTATTTACGGCTAACGGTTAAATCTTTTTAATTTTTACGGCTATCGGCTAAATTTTTGGCCGTTTTACGCCTATCGGTTAACCCCATTGAGACCCTCTACTAAATGTAATCGAACTAGAGCCAATCACGATTGTAAGCTCTATGTAAAAGTTGCCATCTTAAATTGCTACAAATATTCTTTCTTTGTACGGATCGTCAGTGCGTGGAATAATTTGCCTAAACTTCGGATGTTGCACACGCAGGATCGCTGACTTTACTTCGCAGCAGATTAAGGATTTATATGAGTATTGAACACGTAATTGTGCAGATATTCTAAAGTATTGAAAATACATACAATACATGGCAATACATCGCTACACATGGTAATATAAATCTATATATGTTAATTTATACAGTTCTTGATACACTTTAATAACCCTACGTAAAGTACCTAGCCACTTGCGAAGCAAACCGCTGACTGCATGGCGCTGCAGTCGCATCGGTCGTCACTGAAAACTAAATCGAAAACAAATACCGCGTTCTTAAGGGAGAAGCCAGAATGAACTCCAAAATATTAACTATAAGTATGGCATTTCTGTCGTTGAAGAGCAGACGTCTCTCCCCCGCCAGCCATCCCTCCCATCGGCTGAATTTACAGTTTAAATTTTATTGGCCAGGGATGTGTCAATTAGTGACAACATGTGAGAATAGGAACCTTAAAGGGCATGTAAACCCAAAAATGCTACAATTTTGTTTGATATGAGTAGAATGTATACCGAAAGTACTTCATAAATCTTTTATCTTTTTTTCGATACAAGCGCATTTTGACCCGAGAAATCACCTCTGAAAGTTCACTTCGTCCGCCATTTCGATTCCGCCATCTTTGTTGTGACGTCACGAGTGGAATCTCTGCCCACCGGAAGTCAAAAACATCTTTGGGACCTTCACAAGCACGTGTGTTGTCTAGTTTCCTACAAGAATATTTTTTAGTTTTGACTTTGGTAAAGCGGTGTGTCGTTGGATCTTGTAATAACTCGAACAAAACAGGGCATTCTACTCATTTTTTTTCCAAAAGAAGAAAGAATTCGGCGCCAGTGGATTAAATTTGTCCAAGTTAAATGTGCAGACTTCTTACAGCCTACAGAACACTCCATAATCTGTGGCGCTCAGTTTGCACACGAATGTTTCGAGGATGATGGGATGGTAAAAATAGGACTCAAAGATAAAAGAAGCAATTTGAAAAGCGATTCGGTCCCCACAATTCAGCCCCAGCGACCCGAAGCGTTGTCCGAAGCGCGTAGATTAGCGGACTATGGAGAGCGAAGAAAAAGAAATACCGGCGACTGCGAGTCAGACTCCTGGCAAAATGGTCACGAACAAGTAGAGCTGTGCACAAGTTATCAGTTTCTAGGGTAAGTAAGCCAATGTAATAATTAAGAAGGATTTTTTTTCATTAGGTCAGTAT